GATGGATGGATGGATGATGGATGGATGATGGATGGATGGATGATGGATGGATGGATGGGTGGATGGATGGATGGATGATGGATGGATGATGGATGGATGGATGGATGGATGATGGATGATGGATGGATGGATGATGGATGATGGATGATGGATGATGGATGAGTGAGCAGAGGCTGGAGGGTGAAATCCCGTGAGCGTTTTGCGTGGTGAAGATGGAAGACGCATCGCATAAGCACATGTAAAGGTTGATGGAAATGGTCTCAGGGTCAGAACCTGGGTAAACCCAGGTTCACTGTTGGAGAGAGAAAAAAAGCCCCTGCGTTTCCTGTGAGCTCCCTGGGGAGGGCAGACGTTGGGGTCTAAGGCAGGGAGGCCAGGTGAACCGTAGCCGCACTGCGACCCGACCACAGGAACAGAGGATGTTCTTGAGGTGGGCGTGGTGGTCTGGGGGCAGCAGGCGGGGCGGGGGAGCCCCCAGCGGTGGCCTCGTTGTCTGTGTGAAACAGGGAAGTTGTCTGCTGGGAGTGGAAGTGTCAGGGCAAGAACTGGAGGTGTGACGTGGAGGTGGTTTCAAATATGGGTACAGAGAGAAGGCAGGTTGCCTTCAGACAGTGACGTCGGGCGGAAGTTGATGATGAAGGGTTGCTGCCCCTGTCCTGCCACGTGGCTCTGTCCAGAGGTAAAGGAAGGCTTGAGTCAGGGGTTTGCCAGATGGCTGCAGCAGAAAGGCGGTTTTAAGTGTCTCGTTGAAGCGACGTGCCGCGTGATGTCCCCTGAGGTGGGGAAGGGTCGGTGGGCTGGAGAAAGGCGCGGCGGCGGCCAGACGAGGCAGGAGCTGTGGGTCAGCGCGCCCTGGGATGGCATCGGGGCTGGCGAGCACATAGAGCAATTTCGGTAGTTAGCCTGCCCTGGGTCACCGAGTGCAGTGGCCGGAAAAGGCCACTGAGGTTAGGGGACGAGGAACAGAAGGGCCAGGCTGCCCGTGTGCTTGTTGACGTGATCCAAGACTGGGGGATCCGGGTGGGACCTGGGGTCGGGGTCCTGAGTGGGAGAGAGTGACCGGGAGAGCTGTAGGTGACAGGTGCGCAGCGTAGGGTGGCTGTTCAGGCATGAGCCTCGGAGGAAGGAGCAGGCTCCTGAGGAGGTGGCGTGCGGACCCCCCTGGAGCGGGTCTGTGGGCGCCCGTCTCTTGAGCCCTCGCTCATCTCTATCTTTTCATACACCGCTGTTGGTGGGAAAAGGAGGCCCGGACTGCGGCGCCCGTTCATTCCCGGAAAGCCCCCACGTCCCCTGTTTTCACGTGCAGGCTCGGGCCTCTGCAGCTGCGCCCTTTGTGATAAGTGGGTCTCCTCCCTGCAGGAAAGCAGTGGGTGCCCGCTGTGCCCAGGGCCCCCAAGACGGCTTCCTCCGTGTTTTCCAACTAGTGTTTTGAGTGTATCAGGTTCTGGTTCCGGGCGATGCTGTTTATTGCAGCAGGAAGAGGGCACCACAGAGCGAGAGCGTGGCCCCTGCGCCGGAGAGGCTCCTCGCGGCTCCTCGCGGCTCCTCGCGGCTCCTCGTGGCTCCTTGTGGTTCGTCTTCCCTCCAGAAGGAATACGTAACTGTGGCGGTGTGCACGTCTTCTCGGAGACTGGGTCGAAGAAACCAGCACGGTGGCTGGTTTTATGGTGGTGTTTCTGATCCCGGTGGGAGGAGAACGTGGCACCTGCGTGCTGGTGCTGAAGCAGGTGGGGGCAGGGCTTCTGCTGCTTCCTGCGGGGAGGACGCGGTGCCAGCTTGTCCCATGTGGAAGCTCTGTGTGTCTTCCCAGTTAGGAGTTAGGAAACCTGTGCTTTGTGTCCGTATCCAGGGCAATTTGCAAGACTTGAGACAAGTCATTTCTTGTGGATTGTTCAGGGTTTATTTTGTCTAGTAGTTAAAATATACTGATAGATAGTCTTCCTGATCAGAAAGAATTAAATTTGGATGTTTTTATAGGCAGGCTTATTCTTTGTTTAAAATCCAGTTACCGGTTTTGCTGTAAACAGATGACATCGCTGGCAACAAGAATGTGTGAATTAAGCAAAAATTTAAAAACATTTGAAGTGTGTTAAAAAGTGATATGTTACTGTGACAGAATCTTTATTAAGTTATTTTTATTTACTTTTCATGCTACATAAGGATTCACAGATTAATCTACTCAGGTAAGGATATAGCCAAAGGTATTTTGAGCTTTTGCATATTAAACTTGTTTTTACTTCATTATTCTTGAAAACATGTATGGTAATATAAGCTAGAAATTTAAATTTTGGTATATAGAGACTTACTGTTGAAACAGCTGTTGAGACTTTTTCAGCTTTATTGGGAAAATAAGTTTTAATAATGTACTTAGTAATCTGAATGTGTGTGCTGAATCATTACTGCATGCCGGCTGTGTGTATAAAGTATGCAGAGTAATTTCTGCATTGTTCTCATTTGGTTAGAATTTGCTGGACACACAGGAACATCGTTCGTTGCTCTGGAATAAATTATCGTCTCAAAACTGCGTTTTAGTAATGGAGGTACCCAGGGCTTTCAGAGTTGTTGTAAATAAACTCTTTATACTAAGCGGAAGTTGTCCATGTGTCCGATGGCCCACACTCCTGGTGGCTGCCCAGGGCCCCGGCATCAAGCGGGTGGACCGGCCCCCCAGTGGCTCACAGCTCTGCCTCTGCTCGCCCTGGAGCTCCTGCAGTCACCCCCACTCTGCCCCCAGCCTACAGCCCTGAGTAGCTGGTGGGGTGGGTTCCGGGACGCCGGCCCTGCTCCGGGCAGGGCTGCCTGAGCGCACCGAAGCTGCACTCCAGCTGGCCGCCTCCTTGCTCGGTTCCTCCCTGCTCCGTCCAGCTCCCTCACCCGCGGTGGGCTTCTCCCAACGACGCAGTTCCTACATAGCCCATCCCAGGCTCTGCATGTGGGGCACCTCGCCTCAGTGGCATCAGGCAGACGCTGAGAGAGCTGTGGGGAGCCCTGTGTCCCCACACCCAGCCTCAACATTTGGCAGCATTTTGCCCATCTGGTTGCATCTTCCCTCTGGTTTTTAAAGTCATGCGGTATTTTATAATATACCTTATACATTATGTAATTTCATCCTGGTCAGTGTGCATCTACTGCCCCTCACAAGTAGGGGCTCTTTAAACGTGAACACAGTTCTGTTGTCACACCTGCCAAAGTTAACAGTGGTTCCTCAGGGCCTCATGGTCCCCAGACCGGGTTTGTAGTTCCCTTCACAACCACGGGACCTCGATACTCTTAAATGGCACTGCCACAAGCAAACTGACACTAAGATCCGTAGTCTGCTCAGAATGACGCCGTTAGTGCAGAGGGTCGGTGGGTGAGTGCGGCCCGAGGACAGTCCTAACCCCCTTCCTCCTTAAGGTCCTGGACGCCTCATCCCTGAGTTTCAGCACCCGGCTGAAGTGGTTTGGCATCTGCTTTGTGAGCGGCGTCTTCTTCTCCATCCTCGTGAGTGAAGGCTTTCTCTGGCTGAATAATTTCTATTTTGTGTCAGACCAGTAGTCCCAGGCAGCCCCAGCAAGCAGCCCGCTTGGCCTGGATTATTGCTCTGAGACTTTGGATGGGACACATTTAGACTCCTGATGAAAGGGGTAGAGATCAATACAAGAATGTAGAAGTTAATATTTGGGGGGGTTCTGGATTGTTAAAATAATTTTATTTAAGAAAAATCAAAAGTTGCAGTCAGTAATTTAGATGTCAATTACATTTTTTAACTTGCCATTTTAAAAGAACATTAAGTAGCATGAGATTTACTCACATGTATAAAGAAAGTTGTGTTATGGTTATTTACATATACTAACATGCAAATAGAAGATTCAAATTAGCAAATAACATGGAAAATTAACCGCTTTTTATAAATGATATAATCAGAGACTATATGTGAGCAAATTTATACTTAAAATTTGTATTATTATATATTTATATTACTGTAGCATTTAATTTTAAACTATTACGATGGTAAAATTATTTTTAAGTGACTATAATATTTTAACTCAGGGAACTGGATTGCTGTGGCTTCCTGGTGGCATAAAGCTTTTCGCAGTGTTTTACACCCTTGGAAATATTGCTGCGTTATCCAGGTACGGACAGCTCCTTACAGTACTCCATTTGCTATCACTCTCCTGAGGACTTTCCTAATAGGATCTATTTCTATAGCTCTGACATACTGTGAATTCAGCCACAAAATATGTGTTCCTTTAATAAATATTTATTGACTCCCGCTGTGTGCCAGCTGCCACAATGGAGTGTTAATGGTAGGAGCAGCCGGCCCCTGTGTGGGGGACTGTCCTCAGCATTTTGTATCTGTGACCCTAGTTTAGGGGGAGCACTGTTAGCACCCCTCATGCAGCTGGGGCTGTGCCTGGTGCGGTGACGAGGCAGGCTTCCCACCAGATCGCCCTCCAGCGCCCAGCCCCTGTTGTTGTGAAGCAGGCAGTGGGTCAGATAGATGCTCAGCCGCCCAGCCAGACGATGGGGTGGCAGTGGTGCGGGAGGTCAGCGGTGAGGCAGAGGCGTGGTGGGCGGGCCTTGGGGAGTCCTCTCTGAGGTGCATCTTTGGGGTGCTGATGTCCCCTGCGGTTGTCACATGTATGAGCTCTGCGTTTGCTCTTAGCTTTCAGAGGTGACCGTCTGCTTCTTCCAGAATTTTCTGGGTCAGAGGTCTTGTCAAGTGAGCAGGCGTGAGTGAAGGCCGAGCTCAGCCAGGGCTCGTACCTGTGGTGATTCTCGTTCAGACGGTGGCCTGAAGGAAGCCCGAGGTGACAGTGCAGTTGCTATCAGAGGCTTTATACTGACAACTAATGACTCGTGGAGGTGGCCTTGCCTTGTTCTGACATGGAACGTGTGCAGATAGGAAGTCGTGACTGATACAGCGTATTTGCAGACAGCCTATCAGCTTGGGATTGCTTCGGCTCACTGGTGGCTGTAAAATCCCAAGATGGATAGTTTGTCAAAGGCATTTATGTCTCATAGAAAACTAAAAGACTCAAGTTTCCTTCTAATAGTAAGGGAAAGCTAACAGATCTAGTGAGAGGGTCTTATTAAATCAACGAACCCAGGGTTTCTTTCCTTGAAAGTTTGTTTTTATGCGACCAGACAGATGAGGTGGCCACTCTCTCAGTTCTCCTGTTTGTTTCTAATAGCACGTGCTTCTTAATGGGACCCGTGAAGCAGCTGAAGAAGATGTTTGAAACAACGAGATTGCTTGCAACAATTATCATGCTTGTAAGTAAATAGTGAACATCAGATAAAAACCTTTATTGAAGTATTTTTTGCATTGTTATTTTACAAATAATTGTGCATTTTTACGTAAGTCCTTTGTCATATCCCTCGTGTTGCTTATAATGATTATATCGTGCAGGCTGTGATTACAGAGAATGGACTGTACAATATTACCTAAAATGGTTGTCTGGGTAAATCCTACTACTTTGTATTGCATATATCTGACATTGTAGCTCTGTATTTATTTTTTTATTTAAAATGAAAGTTAGAGGGCCGGTTGAGTGGCTCAGTTGGTTAAGAGCTCACTCAAGAGTGTGAGTTCTGAGCAACAGCGGTTCGAGTCCCGGCCCGAGCTGAGCTGCCAGCAGGTGGCAGGATGGCTCAGCTAAAAAAATAAAAAATAAAAAATAAATAAAATCAAATGGAAGTTAGAGCTGGATGCATTTTGTTTCCAAGCCCCACGGAGCATTTCTTAATGGGTTGCTGTGTGTACTTTTTGGAGGGTGGGCTGGAAGACAGGTCACTCTGGGTCCATTTGAGTCATCTCAGGGAGAGTTGGCATTAATTTAAGTAGCCTGTCCTCTTGTCGCTTCCCTGTTTGACCAGATGACAAGCACTTCAGCCTGGCTTCTATAGCAAGCAGTCCCGTCAGTGTGCCGTTTGTCACCTTGTGGGGTCTGTACGGGCTGCCGGGTCGACACTTGAATTCAGTGTTGTCTTTGAACGAGTGTGTGTGGGGTACGCTTGCACTTGGAAACAGTTTTCTTCATGCGTTTTGGGTTCTTAGCTGATGGTTGGTGGGGTATCACGGGCAGAGGGAGCCCAGGTCCCCTCTCCACCCAGGCCTCTGGTCCTAGCGTGCTTGTTCTGTCTCCTGCAGATTGCTTTGGCCTTACAGCCTGTTTTTTAATTTAAATGTCAGCATTAGCTCGTTTGTCCTTTTAACTGTTAACTAGCTTTTCAAACACAACTAATATTTGTAGATTTATAAATAAGGAAATGTTTTCAACTGTGATATGTGTGTCTTCTCCCTCCATTCCAGAGTAAAAAAACTTATTAGCCTAATTTTTTATGTATGTCGTTATTCAACTCCATCAGATTTAGTGCCTTTATTTATTTATTTATTTATTTTTCCAGTTATTTTGAACTTGCTGTATTAGCTGGTAAAGCAGCATACATATTAACATTGAACTTTGTCTGGGTTGCTGAGAAATGATCTTACACTGATAGACTATAACAAGGTTATACTCCACTAAGATTTTAGGTAGATTCATTTTATTTAGGACATCCTGGAACCCATCTTAATAATGCATTCTTCCACACAAAAACAGGCATAGACTCGAGGGGCTGTTCAAACAGCTAGGAACGTAAACTCTTTCCCCAAAGAGACGGTTAGGTATTCACATGAACTTGAGTCATAGCATTTCTAGCTGAATGCTTAGCGGGGTCTCACTGCTGCTGCCATGAGCTTATACCTAATAGTGATGGTAAAGAAACACTGACACTTCGCCCCTTCTAAGGGCCAGCCCCAGACTCAACCACGTTCCAGACATGTTCTGATGTGTTCACTGCAAAGCCCTTTAGAGCAGGCAGATCAACACCGTCCTCCTTCTAAAGAGCGATAGCTGCAGTCCAGACCCAGTAACTGACTGAACCAAGCACACTCTGCCAGTAGGCGTCAGAGCTGGGAGCTTGCCCAGGCCTCTCTCTCCAAACGCCCTGCCTGTCACCATTGCTGTCACCCTCCTCCTTGCGGGCCACGGAGATGTGGAAAGATGACGTGTTCTTTGTGTCTGACAGACTGTCTTTCCAGTGGATCCTGTGTAACGCTCAGTAAAGGAGAAGGACTGTGTCAGCAGGTGTGCCGTGCACTGTGTCGGTGGTATTGTCACCAGCCATCAGCACGGTCATTCCTAGAACAGCTGTGGTCACTGAATATTCTTCAGACATCCTTTCTGTTGACATAATCAATGGGTCATTTTCGAGTTGTTTCTATTTTGCCAGGGAATACAATAGTTATAAACTTTCAAGTAAAATAATCCTCATGGAATATATAAGCACAGCTGGAGGCAGCGGTCCTGTTAATTTTCTTCTATAGCCTGTTATCCATGCAGATGAGTGCAGATTAGTTGACGCGTTTCTGTTAAGCTTTTGAAGGGGCTCAGACTTATTGTTATTTCTTTCCTTTCCTCCAGTTGTGTTTGGTGTTTACCTTGTGCGCTGCTCTCTGGGTAAGTTGCATCCACCATGCCTGCTGTTTACTAGCCTGTTGCTCGTCAGGGCGTGTCATCACACCATTTCCTAAAGGAGCTCAAAGTCTGGCTTCTTTCAACCCACCAGAGATTGGGTGTCCCTAACGTTGTGCCTGGTGACATCCCGTTAGTGGTTAGACTTGCCATAGCCTGTGCATCTGAAACAGACACAGGTGCGTTTGTCCTTACCTGCGGGCCGGCTGGCTCCTCTGTCAGCCCCGGGGCTGTGAGAGGCTGTGCTGCCCGGCAGGGAGGAAGGGAGCCACCGATGAGGGGCCAGCAAACAAACCCAAACAAATGAGCAGAACCAGACGAAAGCACGCACCTGAGCCCCAGCCCGCTACGGGCAGGGTGGCCCGTTCTTCATTAGAGAAGCTCTGCTGTTGCGGCTCAGCCTTCTGGTCACACTCCTGGCTCTTTATTTACGGCTCCCTCTCTGCTTCCCAGGAGGTTCCGAGGTGATTCCAGAGCGAACCAGACGACACGTTTTAGTGAAGCAAGGGTAGTGTGTGATGTTCTAGAAATGCTGTCAGAAAAGGTCCTGGTTTGCTTCTCAGTTTTGATGATGTAAGGACTAAATGTTAGTTATGTGGGAATTGACTTACACCTCATTTCCCAATGTTGACTTAAAACAATATTCCTAACAATTTTTGCATATCCCTATGGAAAATTGATTTTGGAATGGTCTAGCAGCCTGTTTATTTATAAGCACTAGATGAAAAACAAAAGAAGTAAATAAATAAAAATGGACACGGAATTCTAAAAATAAATAGATCATTCAAAAACGGTCTTAGAAACTATTTTACATTATTCTAGACATCACAATAAAATGCAGTTTTCCTTCAAAAAATAACTCAAGACAAGGAGCAAGTGAGAATGAGTAAATTATGTAATTTCGACATAGGCTGTAGATCCAATACCTATGTATGATTTTAGGTGTTGGTCTGAGAAGTGTTATCCTTGACTTAAGGGCCTAAGGTCCTGGCTGTAATGTTCTCAGCCTGTGCGCAGTGATTCCAGTACCATTTTCTTAACGCCGTGTATCGAACAGCATTTAAATTAATGGATACAGAGAATTTTAGAAAGGAACTGTAGTTTATGAAACATTTAAGTTTCAGATCTGTTGAATCTTAAATTTCTCATACTGAAGCTTAATAAAATAAATGGAGCTGTCATGTTACATTTTTGAAGGGGAGGACTTGAACTGGGTTGTAAAAAAAATGTTTGTAAATATTTTTTAAACTCTTAACTGGTTATTTCTTTGTCTTTTGCTGTTGTTAGTGGCACAAGAAGGGGCTGGCCTTATTATTCTGCATATTGCAGTTTTTGTCGATGACCTGGTAAGTCTCACCTGATTAGAAAGCAGCACCCCAAGCATTTTGTTCTGAGCCTAGCAGCCTACGAAAGTTGACATTTCATCTGGTGGTTGAAGCAGGTGTCTTGGAGGGGGGTGGGGACGGACCTCCTGAGAGGCCAGACACATGGGGCCTGCGTGTGTCCCCTGGTGACTGCAGCAGGGAGACCTGGGGTGGGGTGGGGTGCTGACACAGTTCCACCACGGTCATTCACGTCTTTAGTGTGTGCAAGAGAAATGATAAGACATGCAGGTGCTGCTGTCTGAACGCAGCTGAGCCTGAGGGCACGTGGGTGCACCGTTCACTTGGCGGCAGGTTCCGATGCTGACTCCGGCCTTGCAGCGCCTGGAGCTGCCGTGGGAGCATCAGTGAGGGACAGGTGCTTCTTGCCTCTGCCTCGGCTTGTCCTTCCTCCGCCTTCGGTACTCAGCCATGCTGGCTCCCCCACCGGACTTGGCCCCTTCCTGAGTCTTTCTATGGCTCGGGCTGCAGTGCAAGGCCCAGCGAGTGTCTGCTGGTCCTGGGTGTGCCGCCCTCGCACGCTTCCGGGTCAGACTGGGAGTGTGTTCTTACATGGAAAATACTTTTAAAGAGTGTCTTTCCTTTCCTTCAGAGCTAAGTTTTGTTTGCGCCCCCCAGCAGTCAGCAAACCCCCTCCTGATTTTGCTGTTTGAAATCTCCTTTTTGATGTTACCTGGGTGAGGTAACATCAGCGGATTCTCCCTTTCACCGACAGATGAGCTTTCCGTGACAGTTAAATGCGGAGCACTGTGGAGGAGTTTGCTCTTCTTCAGTGAAATGTGGAACATTTTAATTGACTCCCTTGGTCATTTTCTATAGTATGTTGCTTTTTATTGCACCATCTGTATTTAATGATTGATTATCCCTAAAGAAGAATGCAGTTTATGCTCAGTTGTTCAATAGTTATTTTTTAAAAAACTTTAAAAAGGGTAACTTTTTGTTATGATAAGCTCAAACTTTAGCAGGCGTCAGAGCCACTCAGAGAGCTTGTTAAACCCAGTTTCTCATTCAGGAGGTGTGCGGTGCGACCTGGTAATTTGCATTTTTTACAAGTTCCAGGTGATGCTGGGGCCACTGCTGAGGGTGGTACTTTGAGCATCACTGTGCAGTAATGTGCTGCTTTACTTTTATGGTGTTAGAATGTGGGCATTTGGCGTAAAGAGAAGCATCATTTAGATTGTTTCAACAAATGACTTTTTCTTGCAGGTATAGCCTGTCATACATCCCGTATGCAAGGTAAGCATGTTTGAAATCTGTCTTGTTTCTGCTGCCCTATCTTCACAGAAATGCATGAAATCTAATAATTTTCACATTAAAATGTTATTTAGAAAGCAGGGTTTTTTTGTTGGCTTTGACTTTCTTCGGTTTTGACTTTCTTTCCAAAAGGAAATATTTTAAATGAGATGAATAGAAAGAAATTTGTGTATAAAGTGAAGCCATTTTTAACATAGTAGCGGATTTTACTGCTGCTTCTCACACCTGCACCTATGCAGTTAGGGAATTTAGACAAGAGTTCTGGATCCTTCCATGACTGCAGATATTCATTAATTAGGATGTGGGGACTCCAGCAAAACAAATTCTATTTTAAAAAAGAAAGTTAGTGCTAAAATTAGGTCTGATACATGAATGCTTGTGTTAATTAAGCCAGTAGAAACATTTATTCTATATGTCAAGAGGTAACTGCCATTTATATTTTTTCAGAGAAATGCATTATTTTAATTGTGGAGGGCAAGACAAAACTAATAGTAATCTTAAACCTGACAGATTCAGAAAAATAGTCGAGCACAGCTTAGCTTCTTTGTGACATTTAGAAAACAGGTCTGTGAAAAGCAGCAAGGTTGTATGCTGATGTGAACAATGAAGGGAATTGGCAGATATTGTTTTTGCTGAATTTCAAGTGGATAACTCTTTTTTGATGAACGCTTACAAGGAAAACAAGCAAGCCAGGGCCAAGTCTAGGTGCACAGGCAGAGCCAGAGCACGAGAAGGGATTTACCGTCCTTGGGACCTTTGCTGGAGACCTCTTACTGTTTCTCACCACGGAGAAGGTCACCTAGAAAGGTGTCCCCTCCGGTGCAGCATGAGCAGCCCACCCCTCCCCCAGACTTTAGGCTCAGAGCAATGTGCCGTGTCTGCCCCTAGGTCTCCGGTTCAACAGTCTGTATAAAAATAATAACCTGAAATAAACAAAAGTTATGAAGTAATACTTCAGACAAACTCTTTTGGGAAAAATTATTAAAGTTGAATGAAGTTTATTATCACATGGATTTTTTGGGGAATGCTTAGCATGCAGTTATAAGCATTTTGCTTTTTAACATCCAGTTTGTTGTTTCTTGTTAAAAAATAGTTCTTTTGTTTTTGGCATTTAAATTTATTTCTTCATATTAAGATTAGTGTATATGCTGGTAAAGATTTCCTAAAATAAATGCTATTTCAGAAATTAACAGTTTTTTCCGAGTCTCAGTTTTTGATCTTAAGTTCAAGTCTTACATGTTGGGTTCCTGCCAGAGTCTGGTGTGCACAGGCGATCATGCACTTCTCTCTTGGCAGAAGTGGCCCCTGAGCGTTTGCCCTGGAGGCATATTATACCACTTTTCCCCTGTTTTTTCCACCAGGGACGCAGTGATTAAATGCTGTTCTTCTCTCATAAGTTGAAAATCAGAAACTCTTCAAAAAGAGCATTTGAAAATTGATGTTCTGTTTTTGGTGAAGTACGTTTTTCCTGATACGGTAATCACTCCAGAAACCACTGACACAAACCAGCGACAGCTGAAGACCGTTTTGTGTACTGGGAGAACTACATGCTTGATTAAAATGTTAAACGCTTGTAATGTGAAATTCACTATATGTCATTAATATGCTCTCCCAAAGAGGAGGAGATTTTAATCATTGCCAGTTGTAAATGCTTAGCCAATTTTAAAATCTTTTCTAAACAGCATTTGAGATGTGAATATTTAAGGATAAACCCGTGCTGCAAGATATATTCAACTTTTTGGGCTCTTTTTAAATGTCTAGATATTTTAAGTGTCTTTTTTTAAAAAAAGTTAAATGTGAAAAATTTTACTTTAAAAGTTGCTTATTATATGTAATAAAAATAATATATAAATCTTTACAATTTTGAAATAAATCCACACTTGGAAAAATAACTTTTTCTGGATCAAATTCACAGTATTTTAAGTGGGCATTACTTTGGTTCAGTCGGGCACTGTGCAGTTTTCCTGTAGAAAAGTGAGTAAAATACAATCTCTGCCCTAATGATGTTTCTGGGTACAAATTTGTAAAAGGTAATAGGATTGTGATGAGGAGACATTTGGAAGTGTCACCCAGGGTGGACCCCTGCAAACAGCATGCGGAAGTCCAGGCGGAGGGTGCGATGTGGGGACTAGTTGTAGAGATGCAGAGAGAGCTGGCAACCAGGTGGGCGGGTGAGGCAACCAGAGCAGCCCCCCGGGAAGAAGCCGCTCGCAGCCCGGGGGAAGAGGGCCCTGGCTGGAGCTGGGCGGAGGAGAGCCTGCTTGATAGGGTCTGGGGGCGGAGCCGTGGGGAGAAGCCCCCCAGGCTGACCCTGGACCGTCGGTTGCCCACAGAGCTTCAGAACTGCGCTCTGCAGTGGGGAGGGCGGAGAGGAGGCGCCCCCTGGAGGGTGATGGCAGGAGCGCTGGGGTAGTTCTTCTAGTGAAGGCGTCCAGGGGACAGCTCTAGAGGGCAGGAGAGAACGTGATGCTGGCCGGGGTAGATCAGGGTCTCGGTGTCAGCACAGGGGTGCAGAGGGACAGGGAGGACGTGGCAGCAGTCGGCCAGCCAGCCAGGCAGCGGTGATGCATGAAGAGGCCACATCCTCCGCCCCAGATGGCCCGTGTGAAAGAGGCAGACACGGGCCCAGTTATTAGAGGGAGATGCGACTGCGGTGACGGTCACAGGATCTCCTGGGAGTTTGGAGGGCACGCAGGTAGCAAGGAGCCTGGCCTGTGCAGAGCGTCGCTAAGGAAATGGGGGGAGTGTGTGTGCACAGGGGACATGTTTGACCCCGAAGGAGCCTGAAGAAGAGGGTTATTTTAGACAATTAGCAGGTGACAGCAGTAAAGAAAATGAAAGACCGTAGCCCTCAGGTCGGGACAGCAGTCGGATGCGAGCGTCCCCCAGGCACCTCTTCACAGTCCGGCCTGGGCAGAGCTGCCTGCCTTTCGCCTTTTCCGACAGGAGGCTGGAACCAGCGAAGGTGAGGGGACTTGTCCCGAGTGGAGTGGAGTGGAGCGACCTGGCCGCGGCGCGGCTGAGGCAGGTCTGGGAGGCCTGGGAGGTCCCTGCGTCCAGGGACCGGCTCCCCGTGAGGTGCATTCTGCATCCTGGTGTGTCAGCGTGCCTCCCACCTTCCCCAGGAGGAGGACTTGGGGACCTCACCAGGAATGTCTCTGCAGTGCCACCGCTTTCAGATAGCCCTTGTTTTCTTAATGGAAACGGTATTACCTGCTGACTGTTTGCCCTGCAAAGTAAGGGTCTGCTAGGAGTCAGTGTGGGAGGCGTGGGGGTCACACTGAACCCCATCAATCCAGGGAGCCAAGGTAGGGCAGCGCCAGAAGGAGAGTCCCGACAATAGTCCGTTTGGGGACAGGCTGCGATGGTGAGCAGGGAGCCGACGCACCCGTCGAAAGGAGGCCCCTGTGGGCTTCGTTTGAGGCGTGTGCTTGGAACCAGCCGGGAGCTCGTTGCTGTGTTGTGCAGAGGCCCTCGGACAGATGCCCGCCGCGGACGAGGGGGCACGGCCTCGGGCCGGAAGAACGCTGTAAAAGCACTGAGGGGGGGCTGGGGAGACGCCAGAGATGGCCAAGGCGCCGCCTGGCTCGCTTCCCGGGGGCCCTCTGCCGCAGCCCCGCCCGCCAGCCGCGGTGGCGGCCCGGGCTGTGCGGTGCTGAAAGGGCGGGCCGGGGAGCCCGCGTTCTGCACCGGCCGGCGTTCGCGGGCTCCCCGGAAGGACGCCTAACGCGTCCACTGAGAGGCGTGGAGCGCCGGGCCCACGAGAGCGGCAGGGTCCGCTGCAGCCGCCTACACGCGGGCGAGGCACAGTGACGGGCTTCCGAGCCTGTGGCTGCGAGCGGTGGTGGGACGCATGTGTCCCCTAAGGACCGCGCGGCGGCGAAGGTCTGCCGCAGCCTGTGCGGGCCCTGCCCGGGGGGTCAGTTTCACAGCATCCCCTGTTGGTCACGAGACGTGCACGGTGGGCGATGTCCCACGCGCCTTTGGGGGAGGTCCTGCCGTCGTCGGGGTCCACGGCCTCGGCAGGATAAGCCTGGCGTGTCCCCACGCTGCTTTCCTCTCCTCCCCTCGGCCCCAGGCCAGGCCTGCAGCTGGCTGACAGGTCGCGCCTGCCGGGCGTGCACCTCAGGGACCGCACCAGGCCGGGAGGAAGGACAACCGTGTTCGTGTTCGCAGACTTCTTCATGTTCTTCACCCCCAGACGCTGTGACCTCGGAAAACGCGAACTTCTGTTGTTCTCTTTAAATATTAAACCATCGCTTGAATGAGAAGCTGGCTGTGGAAGTGTCTGCGGGGTCATTTAAAACAGCCCCTCGCGTTGACAAAGCCGCTTTAGAGGGGCCGGCCGTGGACGTGACGCATGCGCAGTGGTTCTCAGGGGGCGGCTGCCGGGAGGCCGCGCCTGCGTGTCCCGCTCGCTCTCCCAGGACGCGTGTCCCACCCAGGCCGGCTGATTGAGGCTCTGTCTCTTGCTTTCAAGCGAGTCATTTAACGGACAGTTTACAACTAGATGCTTTAGTGGGGGGTGGGGGAGCAGGTGAAACTCGTTAGCGCCGCCGCGCCGCCGCGGACAGGCACACTCGCGCAGGCCTCTGTGGACGGAAGACCCAGGGACGTGCCCCCATAGGGCGCACGTTGGCGTCTGCCCTCGGTGTCATGCTGTCATTCTGCGATGACCGGAGCTGTGTTCCCGTTTTGCTGCCTGCTGTTTCTCCAGGTTAGTTTCCTGTAAGCGTCACCGGCCCAGGGTTTCTGAGTAAGCTTCATCCGCACGCACGTTTCGTGCGTGGTAGTAGACACCTTAGCGACTGTGTCTCCCTGCCGCGTGGGAGAGCTGTGAATGCAGGTGACATACCTAAAAATCAGCGCTTTGCCATGGACACGTGGATAGAAACTTAAGGCGCATCATTTTTAATGGCGTTGGCTTTGCTTCCTGTGCAACCTCACGTTCTTATATGCTTCACTTGCTTCCAGGCTGTTAAAGAAAGAACCAGGTACAGGAGTCTCTGGTGGCCTTGGATGGGTTCCAGGACCCCCTCGGGAACGGAAATCCGTGGTCGCTCAAGTCCCCTGTATAAAATGGCTGGTGTTTGCACATAACCTTTGCGCCTCCTCCCGTGTACTTTAAACCACCTAATGCAGTGGAAATGCTACAAGAATAGTTGTTACACTGTACTGTTTAGGGAATAATGACAAGACAAGAAAAAAAAAAAGCCTGTACAGGCCCAGTGCAGGCGCCGCCATCGTGGGCGGAACTACTCGGTCACGTCAGCAGCGATGTAACTTTCGCAAATGTTTTCCGTCCGCGGTTGGTTGAGTCGCGCATGCGCTCGCGGACCCAGAGGCGGACTGCATTGCTTGGCTTCCCGCGTGGAGAGCCGGCCTCCTAGCTGAGACGTGGTTCCCTGTGTGCAGTGCAGTGTTCTGTTCACCATGGCACCATTGCCGCCCTTCTCGGAGTGGCCCAGTGACCTGCCTGCAGGTCCCCGAGACCCTTTCAGGGTCTACTTTGGTAATAACCCCGACACTGCCTGTGCTTTTCACCCTGCTGCTGCCGTGAGCACAGTGGTGTTGCTAGGATACGGACACGTGGCCTCACAGGGACCCGGCTCAGAGCCCACCACTCATCTCTGGTTGGTTTGTTTCAGAAAATAGTGTTGATTTGTCATTAAAAATATGTCAGTGCAGTGGGTTTAATGGTTAACGTAATGTGTTTCTTGTTTGTTCTTTTAGCTGAGCCATCCTGCCACCTGTTGGCAGCTCAGCGGCAGCTCAGCTCGGGCTGGACTCGAACCGCTGTTGCTCAGAGCTCACACTCTTGAGTGAGCTCTTAACTGTTTATTGTTTTTAAATGTACTTAACATGTTTTCTGCTTTTTAAGTCTCAGCTTAAATTTCTAATCTAACATCAATGGAGGCCACAAAACAGAAGCTCTTTGAGTCTTAAAAGGGTAAAGGGTGTTTGAGACGCACTGGCCCAGAGGGGAGCGTGCTCTGGGGCTCCTCTGCCACCGGTGCTCCTTGTGGGGCGCTGCGGCCAAACCTTGGTTTCTTCACATAAGGACCAGGAGGCTGCCATGAGGTATCCAGAAAACATGGATTCTTATCTCATGATGGGAGAAAAGAAAGCCTTAAAGTAAATCACACCTGAACAGTTTTCTAAATGTTCTTCTACTCCCAAAGCCTTTTGTAGTAACAAACCAGTGTTAGAAGAAGATATTTAGGTATTTTTTAGTTACTGACCAAGTTCACTGTTTCTCTGCAATCAAATAGGATTTTAAAAACGAATTAGCTTTCCATGTTTTAAAATTCAGATGTAGTTTTAGTTGTAGATGTTTGACTCCTTGTTGCTATATCAAGTAAAATTATTTGAATCAAAATATGGAAGTGAAGCATAGCACATAGGGAGAGGCTATCGCTTTGTTTTCCTTTTTAAAGTTTTCCTGAATGTACCTTGAAGTATTATATGCCTTAGTAAAACCAAGAAATTAGTAAGCTAATGAGAACACTCTTAGAATGATTTCCTGGGATGATGGTGTCGTTACTGGCTCTGATTGTATTAACTGGGAGTCCATGGTGATGACAAGATGAGCACAGGCGTGTCTGTGACAGTAGCATGTGTCCAGCTGGATGCCTGTGGGACCCAGGCAGTTCCTTGTCACCAGAGCAGCAGCCCTGTGCAGAGCAGGGCCACCATGTCGCAATTTCAGTGACCCCAGCGCACTTCAGAACTGTGGAGCAGCTACCCGCTCTGGCTTTAGTTGGGCGTGGGTATGTTCTGGGTATTTTAGTGATGGAAATATTTTCTACATACATTTTATT